TTTTGCTCAGAGCATGTGTTGTTTTCCAGGAGGAAACTGGATTCTAAATTGAGGAGGTGACTTAACTCTTTCAGACAATGAGATGACAGGTTCATCTTCTACACAGCTTCCTCGAGACCTGAGGGTGTGCGGACCTTTCTCAAGGACTTATCTTACTGGCTAGCAGTGATTTATGCACGAGAGACTTCAAGTCTTACTTCGGCTTGTCCTCCTGTCATTTCCTTGAAGAATATTCCTTGCTTTTAATCGCATCCTTTCTCAGAGGGCAACACTAAACCCTGTTCGCCAGCATTTCTGTTTCACCACGGCAGGAATACTTGTTGTTACCCAGCAACCCGCAGTAGTAATTGGGCATTCGCTTATTTCCCGAGGAAAGTACCTCTTCTGATGCAGCCAGTCTGGTTGCAGCTGTCTGTGTCTTTTTGGAACTGGTGGGCTTCCTCGGTGCTCCTCTGAACAGCTATGAATAAAGGGAATTTTAAATCCTTTCTGATGGATTTACTTAATTTACTTCCAAACTTCCATTAAAATGAAAGAGATATGCTTCTTTGAGGTCGTCTTCTATCTCTCAGCATTCATTTAACAAGCTACAACTTCCGGATGGAGGAGAATTCAGAGACACCATTTGGAAAGGTGCAGCTTAGATTTAACTGGCACCTTGCTGGGCTGTTTTCTTCACAAGTGGAATTTTTCTCGTTCCCACCACCGTCTCCTCCTGGGGATCATTGTTCCCATTTTGCTTTTCTTTCAGGCACGGAATGTGTCCGTGTAAGCGGGTGGAGAAGGGTGAGAGTAGAGATGTGGTAGGCTGACAAAGCTGTTTTAGAAAGACTTGGGCTTTGGAAGCCGAGACCTGCGGTTTGAGCTCTCCCTGTGGCCTCCCTGAGAGTGTGCCCAGCGCAGGACGTGTGTCCCGGGGACGCGGGCGTCCGGCAGGCAGGTGCGCGGCGGGACGAGCGAGAATCTCGTGGGTTCGGCCCTCTCCCACCTTGCTGGGTGCGCAGCACCAGGAATCAGCCTGGGCCGCGCGCGGAGCCGAGCGGCTGGCTCTGTGCGATCCGGCCGGCCGGACGGAAAGGAGACGCTTTCAGCCAAGAAGAGGGATCGCGCCCTCGGGAGGCCCCAGCAAGGAGCGCACCGGGGAGCCGAAGGCCAGCCGAGCTGAGCCGGGCTGCGCCAGCGCCTCCCCGCTCCCTCCTAAAGAGCGGGTGCCCCTGCTGCGGTGCGCACCCAGAGGCCTGCCGTCCCAGCCAGCCTAGGCGCAGCCGGCCTTCCACCGCGCGTCACGGGAGCTGGCAGGGCCGTGCGGCTGCGGCCGGCCAGGCGGAGCGTGTGCGGTGGCGGTGCAGGCCGGCGTGCTGCGGGGCCAGGACTGGAGCCGCCCTGCGCACGCTCGCGCCTGCGCTTGCGCTGCTTCCGTAGTTCAGCCTCTCTCTGCTTCAGCTTACTTATCTCTCAAGTAGGGATAAAAATTCCCTAGTAGACTTGTTGTGGAGATTAAAAGAATTAGCATGTGTAACTTCTTAGAAAAAATTCCCAGCACGTTTTGGGTATAAACGTACATGCATAACAGCATATATATATATATATATATATATGTATCAAATTACTATTAAATTTAAAAATTGGCATTAAATTACTTCTTTTAGTGCATTAAATAAGGGTAAACTTCCAAAAGAGCGGCTCTGTGGTCCCACTTTGGTTAGAAACTACAGGTGCAATAGTTTGTTATATCAAAGTAAGCAAGTTTTTAAGTAATGTCAGAGCTGTATATATTCAAATATTATAGAAATAAAATAATGGTAATTGTTTAGAATCAATCTGATTATTGTCATATTACTTTCTTATCTGAACTTGATAAAGTTAAATGAAAACACACACATACACATATGCACAAACACGCATACACACTCTGATGTATCTCTTCAGAGGAAAAGAATGTGTTGTTTAGCTATTCAAATTTTTGTTGAAAAGATCTTGCAAACTTTAATCCTTGGATACTACGAGAGAAGAGCCCAGGGGACTCAGTACTTTCCTTGTCCAAGTGGTTGGTCCACTCACACAGCGTCTGGAGGCCACCGCCCTAGATCATTTCTGCCTTCCGAGGAGGGCCAGGACACTGGCTGAGTTTCCTACCAGCCTGCATATGGCAGTTATGTTTCTTAGGGGAAGAAAGGGAGCAATCCCTCCTTTTGTGCGAACTAGAAATATATAGTAGCCATATATAGTGGGCAAAGAAATCACTAAGGTATCAGTGTCCAAAGGGTAATGCTTATGTTTATAATTGGATTTAATAATAATTTTGGTTTCAGTAATATTTGTCCTCATTAGCTACTCAGTTAAATGAAGTTAACATTAATGTTCATCAGTATATGAAGAACATCTGTTTACTTTCAACAGCTTCGGATATTTTCATTTATTAGTGGAGTGATTTCCATTACTATCAGAATGATATATAACCACAATACTTCAGGGGATTCACTATAGGTTGTGTACAATTTGTTCATCTTTGAAAATAAGCTTTCAACATCTGAAATGACTTAATATCCATAACAAGTGATGATTTCTATAGTAATAATAAATAATTAAACTTCCCAATTAAGAGGTGTTCTTTTTACCTAGGTTCTTCATATAATTTTAAATCTGTTGATTGCAAACTGTCGAGCACTTGAATTTTAAAACATATTCCACTTGGCCTCACATGGCAAACCCGGTGCTTCTGAGTTTCTTAGCCTGCTAACCACTCCCTCGCTCATTCGCCTTGCCTGTGAAGGACAGCTCCACTGCCCGGGTCGGAAGCATGCTGGGCAGGAAGCCGAGGTGGCCAGGACCTCAGCTCTGAGTGGCCGCGCACTTCCTGGGTCCCAGGAAGCTCCAGAGCCTCGCCCATCCCTCTGATGGTCCGTGCAAACCGACCATCTAGCGGGACTAAACCACACTGTGCAGAGCTGTCATGCGGATCGGCTCGAATCAGGCGATTTGTGGGTCGAGGGAGGCCAAGTACAGCAACTTGTGCAAGCTTAGCTGCTTAAACTTAATGCCGGCAAAGTTTCGTGATGAACCCGGGTGGCCGTAAGGGTCACTGGTGAGGGAGGCAGGTCTGCGTGGGGGCCTCTCTCCGCAAGTCCTCCTCATTTTTGACTGATTGCCCAAGGACTGTCAGGATTCAGGCCCATGTATTTGAGCACGTGGACCTCCAGGTGGAAATCCACACACGCCTTCATCTCATAGATTTAAAATTAGGTGAAGTTGCCACCTCTCTGGTGTGAGTAATATGTTGACAAAGCACACAGATCAATAAATTGATAATAATGCACATCAGTGTGGTGGTATTCGCCCAGAAGAGATGCCAGCTCTAGGCAGCTTTCTATACTGTTTTCCATGTTGTTCTCAAAGCAGATTTTAACGAGCATCAAAACTAAACCCGATCAAGGAACGCTGACACCTCACATCTGCTAGGTAATCCCCACATTTAAAGTGCTTCAAATTTGTAATAAATTCATTAAAATGTCAGGAAACTAAGGGAAAAAACCTTCAAAATCTACCTAAATATATATATTTCAAAGTATAGATTCACTTATAATGGTAAAATAATGTCAACTAGTTTATTCAGAATTGTGAAAACAAGAACTATTTTTTTAATTAAATGAATGTTCACGCTAAAATGAGCAATAATGTATTTCATACAGCAAACAACTGCCACTGCTTCTGTTTTTTAAAAGTAAACATTTAAATGACTTTAAGGAATATTTCAAATGTACATTGGCTTTAATCTGTAACAAATGTAGAAATTAATAATATGTCTTAGTGTGCAAAAATAATCCAGATGATTAAATCTGGATTTAAAATATAAGTAGCATATGAATTTATGAGTTCTGTGTATGCATGAGAGAGAGAGAGGAGGGGAGAGACAGACGGGCAGATGCACCATGAGGAGGGAGGGACCCTACAGATATATTACCTGGGGATGTGTGTGTTCAGACTTAAGGTAAGTAAGTCTTCTAAGGAAATTTCAGATTCATTCATTATACACTGAGTGGTGAAGCTCATTCTTAAAAGGGCATTTTGAGCTGCGTACAAGTTCTCTCGGCGGTGCCGCGCTGCGCCAGCACTCCCCCCGCCCAGAACGGGGCTGTCTGGGGCCTTCTGCGTCGCACTGCTTCCTGGGAAACTGCAGCAACCCTAGTGTGGTTCTGTTTTAAGCAGGAGAAATGGAGAACATGGCCAATCCTCTCTGTCTGATAGCACCTTGCAGGACTTTTGATCATTTATCACCTAAAACCTCTGAAATATTAGGATACCAAATTGTTTTTGTCTTTGAATAGTGCGAGCCAATATAGTTCATGAGTTTCTAAGATAATCCACTTACGTACAAATTCTAAATCTTGACAAAAATTCTTCATAGATTATCCATTAGATAATAAAAAGCTAGTAGTATTTAAGCATATGAAATGTACCGGTAACAGAAATGTCTAATTTTATAGTTTCCTTGTGATTATTCTAGTGTTTGTTATCTTAAATGAATTTTTCACTGCTATTCATATATAACTTACTTATTTTGTTTTATAGTTCCACATATTTCTGCTAAAACAAGAGACAACTTTCCCCCTTTTTAGGAACCAAATGGATTGATTAAGAACAAAATAAGTGCCCGGTAGAGGAGTCCTTACCATGTGTTGTCAGATCGTGTTTAATTTCATGCATGCATGACGGATAACAGTGTGATTCTCCAGTACAAAGTGTTCCTCAGCCATTCACATTCAGTATTATTTGGAGTAAAACTAGATTAAATTTGCAGAATGGTGAAGAAGGCGATTTATTAATCTTTATCTGCTTGTCTACCTTTGATAGCTTGCATGAAGTAGCAATATTCACTTGGGTGCTGCTCAGACTGCAAGAGGCCTGACGTTATGGAGAAAATCACGGGCTGAAAATGTTTCTTTTTTTCTTTGGCGATTATACATGGCGCCTTTTCCTCACATGCCTCTTTTTTCTTGTAGTGGCAAAGCATTTCTATAACACTGGTTGAGAAAGTTCAGATGGTTGCTGTAATCCTAGGATCCCTGTTCTTGGTAGCGAGTGTGACTTGGCTCCTCTGGTCAGCCTTCAGCCCCTATGCCGTGTGGCAGAGGAAGGACATCCTTTTCCAAATCTGCTATGGAATGTATGGTTTTATGGACCTAGTGTGCATAGGTAAGACCACGACGCGAAACGTGTATGAACTCTCAGTAATCCATTTTTTTCAGCGATTTTCTTCTCACCAGTTGGATCTAACCTACCTAGAATGTTGTGGTTCGCATTACCTTGGTTTTACAAAGAATTAATTATTTGGGGCTAGAAGGATACGTTCCCTCGAGAAGATAGCACTAGCAATGGCATTCATAGTCTGATGTTCTCTGACAAAGTAACAGACAAAGCCCGTGGGAAGCATTATATTTTGCAATTAGAAGAAAGGAGAGGTTGAAGAAATGACTTGAGGTGAGTGATCCAAGCAAGGCCATTCATTTCTAAAGAATGAGAGTGAACCAGTGTCCCTTTATAGAGCTGGGGAAGGGCGGATCAATGCAGGTGGCAGTACTACACACTCGGAGAGAAGCCAGTCGCCAGAAGACCCATGCTATGGCTGTGGCTCGCCTTCTGCGCAGACACAAATGGCTTCGTGGAGGATTAGGAACTTGGCGACAATTTTCCTTTCTGACTTGTCCCTCTTTGTTTCACTTAACAGAGTCAGTGGCTTAGAAACAAAAGTGTATCAAACATTTTAGCCCAAATAGGTTGCTGCAAGATCGCTGTAGAAAGGTCACTCTGCGATGCACCTGACCGGTTGCCAGTTCCCTAATGCCATGGAAAACACGGCGGGCAAGCCACGCAGCATTTGTGTGACAGGTGTGAGGTGCCGCAGGCGGCCACTGTGATGGCAGCCACTTCCGGGTTGGGCGGAGGCTGGTGGATCTGGACACCAGGCCACAAAGGGGTTTTTCTCCTCTATTCTGGTTTGCATCCTTGTGAGCTGTAAAAAGAGCCATAAGTTAAAGCAGTGGCTCTCACACTGTGCTGCCCGGGCCAGTGGCAGTGGCAGTGTCCCCAGCACCTCCCCGTTCTCAGCCCCATCGCAGCCCACTCTGCCCCCATCCTCATAGCACTTCCACGTTCCGATGCCCCGCAAGCTTGGGAACCTCACTGTCCAGCTCAGGGATGCCCGCAAGCTTGGGAACCTCACTGTCCAGCTCAGGGATGCCCGCTGTGGGCTGAGGGGTGGGATGCAAGCCCAGCTCTGCTAGCCTAGGTCTGTTCATCTTGTTGCACGCTTGCTCGTCCTCTCGCTGTTCAAATGGGGATAACGGTTCCGACCACGCAGATCTAAATGAAGGAAACACTAATTAGACACTTTATTTATTTATTTGATACAGGGTCTCGCTACCCGGTTTGGACTTGTCCTCCTGTCTCAGCCTCCCTTAGTGCTGGGATTACAGGTGTCCACCACCATACGTGGTTCCAGGGCCGGCACAACATGCAGTAGCAGGGATTGAACCCGGGTCCTCGTGCTCAGACCGCCAAGCTATCTCCCAGCCCCAGCAAACACTAATTAGAAATGGCCGATCGAATATATTTGAACAAGTGAGAAACACTGAAATGATTTTATGTCATTTAATCTAATATGTGTACGTACCACAGCCTTAGTTTAACTAGCAATTTCAACTTTTTCCAAAATAACAACATCTATTTTTTAAAAAAACTACATCTATAAATGATAAGTCTGACTTTCTGTTTTATAAAAATTTCCTTCCTGTCACCAATACAAGACTAATTGGAAAGAAAACAATCATATTTAAGGCTGAAAAGAAAAAAATCAAGAAGAGTGGGAATATCGTGAATAATGTTAAACTCTGCAGCTGTTTCCTGAATAATTGTTCTAATTGTCTATTTGAACACTTTGCATTAAATGTGATAATGCATATGCAAACATTTGGAAGTTCTAAACCTCTACTAAATTTAGTCTTCAGAGAATTTCTCTAAATAACAAAAATTGCAAAACTGTTCTACAAATTGAATCTTTCAAGTACAAAGATTGCGTGAATTCTTCAACTTGAATATTATGCACCACTCCATTGATATTAAAATGGGAGCATTTCAGAAAGCTAGGAGAAAGAATTTCATAGGTTTTCACCATAAACAAATGGTAAATATTGGAGGAGATAGATTTAAGCATTACACAGTGTATGGAATCAGTATGTGGTACCCCACTAATATGTTTAATTTTTGTATTTCTCTGTATAGTTTAAAAATAATTTTTCAGGGCTGGGGAGATAGCTCAGCAGTCTATGTGCCAGCCGGTGAGTGCAAGGACCTGGGTTTGATCCCCAGTACCACATGCCACGCCAGCCCTGCGCTGTGCTGAGCCCACCACCGAGCCGGGGCATCGTGACGCACGCCTGTAATCTCACTGCTTGGGAGGCTGAGACAGGAGGATCACTATGAGTCCAAGCTGCATAGTGGACCTGTACCAAATAAAGAAAGAAATCTTTAAAAAAAAGTTTTTCAGGGGCCGGGGAGATGGCTCAGTGGAATAAGCGCTTCCCTGGCAAGCGCAAGGGCCTGAGTTCAATCCCCGGTTCTGCCATAAATAAATAAATAAATAAAAGTTTTTCTTCAAAGGATCGCTATGAGTCCAAGCTGCATAGTGAGACCCTGCACACACACACACACACACACACACACACACACACACACACGATGAAAAAACCTTAAAATTTTTTTTTCAATAAAATTAGGGAAATGTCAAAAAGAAAAATTTAGACTTCCAATTCAACTAGGAAGGAAAAATATTCAGTTGACTTTCTTGACATCATTGTAATACTCAAAAGGACTACATATTCCTAATTAGAAAATTATTTTCTTGAATTTCAAAACTTGCATCGCTGCTGCTATGATAGTCTGACTTAATTGTTATTGTCAGATTTTAATGAAGATTACTCAAATCTGCTTTCAAAAGCCTCCACATGGGAAGTAATGGTCATTTAGTACAGTATGACCCATTTGGGCTGCTTCTGGCTACAACTAGAGGCCACATTCCTGAGTGAAATAGGGCAGGCCCGCTTGTGAAAATAGTGCATTGTCTCCCTAGTACAAGAATCCGAAAGAATAAATAGGATCTGAGAGGTACAGCACATACTGTGAAAGGGAAAGAAACTGTTCAGATGGGAGGAACAGCTGGGATGAGGGACACGGGACAAGAAAGAAGGAGGGAAGGAAAAAGGGATGTGTGCGTATGTACACGACAGAGCTTGGGTAACTACCGCTGATTTGTGCTGCTCTATTAGAAGGAGAAGTTAATGTTTGAATTTTTTTTCCTTTTTAATTTTTTGGCCAATGTTGCATGCTTATATCTGGTAATCTGAACAACTAATTTGAGGACAACAATATGAAATATAACAAGCATTGTTGAATGCCTATCATTTTGTTTAGTGAAATTCTATATAATTTCTAATGGTTTGGGTTTTTTGTTATTCTTTATTTTCTTTTAAAAAAACTTGAGCATTTGCCTATTTTTTTAAATTCAAATTTCTTGGAAAGAAAGACAGTTGCCATTTTTCTGGAGATATTTGGAAAGTAAATTGTTACCTGTGTTTTTCATTTTTTTTTACTTTAAGGAAGGGTCTACAGGGTGTTCAGGGTCTCACTGTTAGATTGTAGTGATCTGCCTGTTTACACCCTCCCAAGAGCTGGGATTACAGGCATGCACCACCACGCCCAGTCTCAATTGCCACCTCAGTGTGCCCCAGCCCCTGTGCCTGCTTGCAGGCCCTTTAATCTGCTGAGCCATTTGGCCTGCCCTGTGTTTTTAAATATTGATAGTACTTTGTACTGTCATTGGTGCATAAATTGCAAATCTCATCCCTCAGTGATTTCTTTGTGTATTTTTAAAAATTGTTAAAAATTCAGAATAAATATCATTTAACGTATAAACCTAAGTAAGTTTTTTGTTTTAGCTCAGTGACTATCTTAATTTTTCTCCAAGAAATTAGAAACCTTCTATACTAAACAAAACAATAGCCATTAAGATTACAGCCAACGTTAACCTCGGCTAACAATTCGAATTAGTTAAAATATCTTCTAGTCAAATGAAGACAGCAACAAAATAGCCTTGATTGTGCTTCGTCCTAATACTGCCTGGAAGACTTAGAGCCAGAGTCTGAGCGAAAAGCAACTTTACGATAATGAGTCCAGTTTGCTGAGGTCAGTTAATAAATGCTTATGGGGAACGTTCCATACGGCCGCCACAGTGCTGCCTGCCAGGAATGCGCGTAAGCCAGTAATGTCCCCACCCCAAGGAGTACCTCAGCCCTTGGGGTGTGCACAGTTTTTCAGTTGAATCGGAGTCACTGTGACAAGCCGTAACTGGAATAGCAATGCTGGGAGATGGTGGGAGGGCCCTTGTACTGGGCGGGTGACAAGGCACACCACGGGTGGCCTTGTTAGAGCCGCAGCCTTGCGTAGAAACACTTCTAAAGAATTCCTGCCCCCAGTGCCCCTATTTCATCTTGGACTGGCATCACCCTTGTTACTGATCTTGCAGGATGCTTGATGTTTAGTACTCGCAGCCAAGGATTACTGTTCTAAAGTACTTTATGTACTGTTCCTCATGGGCCCTCAGAAATGTCTCTTTCCCTCCACCTTTTCAAATGCACGTATAGTTTACTTTGCACACACACTCCCTGCAGTACCACTTTGGAATTAATTTAATTAATCAGTAGAGAATCCCTCTTGCTGGTTGTTACGTAGTTTGACAGAGAAGATGGCCATGTGAGTAGGTCGACAGAAAGCAAAGGGACGTGCATGAAAGAAAGCACAGGAGTTAGTCACTGGATAATGCGGGAAGAAATTAGCCCTGAGTGCTGATAGGAGGAGAAACGTTCTTGCAGATTTTATGGGGAAGTGACAACCCAGATGTCTGGACAAAAGGAAAAGTGGACCTCTGTCCACCCCCAGAGGATGTGAGGTTGGTCCCCTTTTAGGGGGTTTTGAAACAGTTGGAAATATTCCTACAGGCATTTAAAACTTGGTTAAACAGTTAGATGAGAAAAACACAGTGACAACTCAGAATTTTCTTTGGAAATCCAAGGCCAATCATCCCAGAGTCCAAGTATGTTGTAATCCAGCCAGCGCATTTAACAGATCAGAAGAAACTGCAC